AATTGGGAGGGGTAGGGGAAGGGGAAAAAGGGAAAAGAAAAAATATGACAAAAGGAAAAAAATGGAAACAAAGTCTTTCCAAATAGGGAAGGGTGCAGGGGGTGAAGGGAGGGCAAGGGAAGGGGGAAAAAATAAGAACCAAGATACTCATGTAATGGTACAAGATCCCAATGATGAATTTAACTGTATTTTATACCTAAAATGTACCAATAAAGTTAATGGGGGGAAAAAAAGAAATAAAAGAGAAAGAGAATTAAAATACCAATACTGAAATTTACAGAGTTAATACTAGTATACACAGAGAAAAATATCCTGGTAATAGAAAAATGGAAATGAAGCTGGGTTCTGTGGTTCATGCTTAGAGTCTGAGCTCATGAGACTTAGGTGAGAGAACTGCTGGAGCCCAGGAGCGATTGAGGTCAGCCTGGGTAACATGAGATCCTATCTCACACACACAAAAGAAACAAAGAACAAATTGAAGGGAGGGAGAGAAGGAGGGAGAAAGGAAGGAAGGAAGGAAAGAAGGAAGGAAGGAAGGAAATAAAAGAAAGGAGACAAAAAGAAAAAAAGGAAACTACTTGGTTAGTGTAGATTTAAAAAACAGAGCACCAAATGGTATTCAAGTGGCAAAAAGAGTATACTTTTATATTGCTTATGTGCCAGAAAATAAACACAGCCATCTGCAAAGAAAGAGAAATACTGTGGTATTATAATATATATTATATATAATATATATGATATATATTTTGGTTTGTTAATGCTATTTCTGAAAACTTCTTCTTAGGAAATAATTTAATAGAGGCAAAAAGCCTCATACATAGTTTTACCTAGAACAGTGAAAACAACCTAAATACCTTATAGAAGAAAGGTTGTCTTTATTAGTGTTCATATCAAGGGGAAAGCCTGGCATCATTAGGCTTATTAAGGTATAAAAGTTGCCAACAAAAAGAAGCAATACTAGGGCCAGGGATTTAGCTCAATGGTTCCACCGCCTGCCTCGCAAGTGCAAGGACCCGAGTTTGATCCCTGGTACTAAAAAAAAAAAAAAAGAAGAAGAAGAAGCAATAATAATGACAACTTCTAGTAATTCTTCTAGAATAAAGCTGTTATCTAAAGGTTCTGTCTACTCAAAACACCCATGCTCAAAATTCACCTTTGCATGTGTGAAAATATGTAAAATTCCTGGCACAGAGACCTTTAGATTCCAGCCCAGTCTTTTACAGGCTCATCTCCCCAACTTCACTTCACAGTCCAAGTAAATGGACATCCCATCTTCTTTCAATATACCATACTTTATCACTGCACACCCTCATAGAACTCTCCCTTGTTCTTTGCCAGGCAAGCTTCTCATCCCTTCAAGGCTCAGATCAAATGCCACCTCCTGATTTTCTCTAGGTACTCCCTCTTTCACACTACCAAAATAACTCTGCTAGTTATTTCTAAAGTAGCATTTTCATTTTATACTAATATTCATGTCTGTCTCCTTTAGTAGTCTTTAAGGGTAGCCATCATGTACTGGCTAAATCAAAAGCAGAAGGAAAATTGGAAAATTCAAATATCCAGAAATTAAATAATACCTCCTGAATAATCACTGGTTCAAAGAAGAAATCAAAAAGGATAAAAGAAATTTTAAAATACCTTAAGATTAAAATGAAAACACAACATACCAAAACTTATGGAATGCAACAAAAGCAGTAATAAGAGGGAATTTCATAGCGATAAACACCTACATTAAAAAAATTCAGGGCCGGGGATTTAGCTCAGTGGTTTTGCCACCTGCTGCGCAAGTTCAAGGACCCGAGTTCGATCCCCGGTACAAAAAAAAAAAAAAATTCAGACAAGCTAACTTTTTATTTCTAAAATTAGAAAAAGAAAAATAAGCCCAAAGTTAGCAAGAGGAAAGAAATAATACAAATTAGAGCAGAAACAAACAAATTAGAAAACAGTAAACAGAAAAATTTAATGAAACTAATGGTTTTTGAAAAGGCAAACAAAATAAACTTTTAAACTAAGAAAAAAGTCAAAAATAAAACCTGAAATGACATTAAAATGCCACAGAAATAAAAGGATTATAAAACACCACTGTGAATATATGCCAACAAACTGTACAGCCTAGAAAAAATGAATAAATTCTGAGAAACATACAATCAACACTGAGTCATGAAGGAATAGAAAGTCTGAAAAGATTTATAACTAGTATGGAGATTAATCAATAATCAGAATTTCTCAACAAAGAAAAGCCCCCAAAATTAGAAAATTTTAAGAAACATTTAAAGAATTAATACCAAGCCTTCTCAAACTCTTTGAAAAAGTTGAAAAGGAGGAAATATTTCCAAATTCATTTTATGAGGTCAGCATTACCCTGATACCAACAGCAGACATAGATACTATAAGAAAAGAAAACTATTGGTCAATATCTTTGGTGAACATAGATATAGAAATCCTCAACAATAACAGCAACAACTATCAAATTAAAATTCGACAGCACATTATAGCTCATACTTCTAACCAGTGGGAATTTATTCCCAGGATACAAAGAAAAACAAATGTGATATACTATATCAAAAGAATGAAGGAGAAAAGTCACAAGACCATCTCAATAGACCTGTAAAAGATGTCTGATGAAATTCAACAACTCCTTTTTATAATAAAAGCAAGGGCCGGAGATTTAGCTCAGTGGTTTCGCCGCCTGCTGCGCAAGCGCAAGGACCCGAGTTTGATCCCCGGTATCAAAAAAAAAAAAGCAAACAAAACAACAACAACAAAAAAATAAACAACATAAATAGAATACCTGGGGCACATGTTTGTGCAGTTGGTTGCCAAGAAATAGTCACTTTATAATAAAAACAAAAACAAGTCTTTCACCTGCAGTCACAGTTATGAGGATAATGAGGATTCCCTGAGCCCAGGAGTTTAAAACCAGCCTGAGTAATGCAGCAAAACCCCATTTTAAACTAGAAACCTCTAAACAAACTAGGCACAGTGGGGAATTACCTCAAAATAATAAAGGCCATATATGAAAGCTCACAGATAATACCATATTCCATGGTGAAAAAATGAAAGCATTTTCATTAACATCTGGAACAAGACAAAGATGCTCGCTCTTGATACTTCTATTCAACATAATAGTACAAGTACTGTTCAAAGTAATTAGAAAAGAAAAAAAGGGGGGGAAATGGTATCAAGTTGGAAAGATAAAAAGTAAAATTGTCCCTGTTTGAATATGATCTTTTACACAGTAAACTACAGAGTCCACAAACTGCTGGAACTAAGAAAAAAATTCAGTAAAGATTCAGGATACAAAATAAATAACAGCTGTATTTCTATACATGAACTATCTGAAAAGGAAATTAGGATAGCATATGCAATTTAAAGCAGAAAAGGTTTATTTTGGCTCACAGTTTTGGAGAATTCAGTCCATGGAAAGCTGGCTCCAAAGTGTGAACATAATGGCAAAAAAATCATGGTGAAGGAAAGCTGCTTACATCATGGCAGACAGAGAGCCCAAGAAGAGATACACCCTTCAAAGCTAAGTCCCCAGGGACCTACTTCCTCCAACTAGGCCCTACCTCATAACAGCCCAGTCAACTAATCAACTAATCACTGGATGAATCCATCAATGAGGTTAGTGCCCTTATGATTCAATCACATCTCTTTGCCTCAACCTCTCTAGGCCTCATCTTTCAACACTCTTGCATTGAGGAAAAGCCATCAATACATGCGTCTTTGGAAGATATTTCATATTTAATCCACAACACTTTTACACTGAAAACTACAAAATATTGACAAAACAAATTAAAGAAGACACAAACAAATAGAAAAGCATCCTATGTTCATGGGCTGGAAGATATAATATTGTAAAAATGTCCATACTACCTTAACTGTTGTATGGATCAAATGCAATCCCTACCAAAATCTACACGGCATTTTGTAACATACATACAAAAAACAGTTCTAAAATTCACATGAACTCAAATAGATAATCTTGAGGAAGAAAAACTAAGCTAAAGGCAGCACACTTCCTGATTTTAATATATATTACAAAGTTAAAGCAATTACAACAGTATGGTACTATAATGGTACTAAAAATATAAAAGTCTAAATTACTAATAAATTTTGACTTACCAAGGAAAAATGAATATTGTTCGCATTTTTAGAATTATAAGAATATTATGCAAAGCTAGGGTAGTTGACCTCACCTCCTAAAAATAATCAATCAATAAACTCTGTGGTATAAATTCAACTAATTTTGAGTCCTTTTGTCCTTTTTTTTCTTTTTTTTTGGTACCAGGGATCAAACTTGGGTCTTTGCGCTTGTGCAGCAGGCAGCGAAACCACTGAGCTAAATCCCCGGCCCTTTGAGTCCTTTTTTTGATGTAAAGAGACCAAGTTTAGATTTGGATTTTCACACATAATAATACTACTTTGGACAAATCACATAACATATCAAAAGCTGTTTCCTTAACTATAAAGTACTATAAAATATAAAGCTGGACTATTTAATCTCTATGAATTTTTAGCTTTAAATATGCTATTTTCCAACTTATTAAATTAATATTTATTTAACAAAAGCAAAATATTTTTAAATAAAGCTCACATTTTCAAAATCATGTAAGTACAATTATTTCCATTTGTATAGGAACTCTCTTACAACCTAAAACACTTCAAATTTTAAATGTGAGATTCATTTTGGTAAAAAACAGATTTTTATGTTATGCTCTTATCTGAATTATAACTATATTTTAAACACAGTTATCTCCATGGAGTGAAGGAAGAAGGCCAATAGTCCACAGCTTAATAAAGTCTAAATTCCTGAAAGCAAATGATTATCACTGAGCCAGAAGCAACACAGATGAACATGGTGTATCCTTCTAATTACTAATTATTTTCCAAAGCAAAGTGTAATTTTAACATCATAAGAGAACAATGTTCCAGTGGATAACTAGAAAGAAAAAATAATAATGAAATCTAACAATTGTTCTTCAAGAAACTTTATTTACCTGTAAGGGACCCAAGATAGAGCTGGTTGTATACATAAAAAAGAGCCGAAGATAACTCAGAACATTTGCAAATGCAAAAAGCCCTTCTGCCACAAGTGTAGGATGGAATGCATCCCAGTCCTTCCGATCAGCAAAATCATGAAACTAGGGTTCGAAGAAAAGCCAAAGGTAAACAATAATCTCAACTCAGGAAAATAAAAACAAATATTCTGAAGTTTCTGCAAGAGAGCTATTTTAATATGCTTCCTTGTGGAGAGAATCTCCATTTATGCTTTCTTAAGTTTTTCTTTTTTAATAAAAACAATGCTTTAAGTAAATAAAATATTTCTATGTATGTGAGACAATATCATTCTATACGAAGTTTTCCAAGCAATTCTTAGGTTTTAAAAACGTAAAACTAAAAATTCTTAAAATTGTCATTAAATTTTTATGAATGAAATAAATTCATTCTTAAATTCCCAGACAAAAACTTTAAGTATATACGCTGTCAATTAATTAGCTATCATATTAGGCCAATCTAGTCCTTTGACCCAGAATTATAGTATGAATCATAGGAGAGAGGTAAGGGAGGAAAGGAGGGAGGGAGAAAAAAACAGTAGAGAGAAAGGCAAAGGGTGGAGGGGAGAGAAGGAAGAGAAGGGAGAGGGGAGAGTGAAAAAGAGACCAAGCTTAACTGAGCAGGATAGTCTGAGTTATATACCAGTTGTCTGAGCCTAATTACTAATAGTACTTCCTTTTGCTTTGAAAATGTCTTTTTGTTTGGATAATAAATTATAGGAGTACCCTACTTACACAGCTAAAAAGATTCGTGTGAAAAAGCAATGCCATTTAATCTCTTGAGCAAACTATCTATACATGATCAATGTTTCTTTATCTTTTTTTTTTTTTTGGTACCGGGGATTGAACTCGGGTACTTGTGCTTGCGAGGCAAGTGGCAGAACCACTGAGCTAAATCCCCGGCCCTATGATCAATTTTTCTTAGTGACTTTATACTCTGTCATCAAATGTACTTAACCAATATGTTGCATACTACTGACCAATGAAAGGAATAGAATACTTAAAATAAGGTAAACGGCTACAAGAGAATCACTTTCCTTTCTCTACAACCTATAAATCACTAAAAAAGCAGAGAATATTATATATTTTCGTTCCTTCATTGTGTCATCCCAGAAGAATTCTAAACTCAGAACTTAAAGATTGTTAACATAACATCTATTATCTTTTCTGATCTTGAAGAGTGTAAATTTTCAGGAAAGTAAAATTGTATGTCCACAAGGCTAAATCTTTATTAAATTCTGAGTAAAAATATATACTCATCAGAAAAAAGTTACATTTATATCACTTTTTAATCTGTAAAAGATAACTATGATTTGGAATGTGTTAAATACTAATGAGTTTCATTAAGATAAATTCTTTTTCAGATTAATATACAGACACTGAATATGAATCATTTTAAGTGATGTTATTTCCTCATTTTAAGTATATACAGGTTAATGAGCTACATGAACCTAGCTCAGATATAAAAAATTGGCATTTAATAGAAAGAAAATGCCTAGACAGACCTGGACTTAAATCCAGTCTTGGTTTAATATCTCTGAGCTTCATTTTTCTTATTGCAAAATGGGGATAAGGACTTCTGTCTCATATAGTCCCTGTGAGGATAAAATGAGATAAAGTATATCAAATAACAACCATAGTACCTACCATATAGAAGGTAACATCCTTTAAAGGTACAGTATTTAAATTATTGGAAATGTAGAAAACTATACACACACAGTTAAGTTTAAAAATGAAAACATACCAGACCCAGAATTGGCCCTATGTAACTCTGAGTTACATAGTTAAATATCTTGAGTTTTTTGAAATAAACTTTTGTGCCTTCAATTGACATAGCAAATAGTCACCTTGTTGTGAGCAACCACTTTGAGAGCAAAGGTTGCCAAATAAAGGGAATTCATGACAAAACTGAGTTGATTACGAGATTCTTCTAAAAAGTCTTCCAACCCTTCATACCAGAGTCTTTTAATGTCTGACCAAATCATCCCTAAAAAAGGGAAAAAAAAATTAGATAACACTTTCTTAATTCAATAATAAGCTAAATAGTACTTCAAGTCAAATTATTACATAACTACCCTTGGGCTAAATATAGACTTATTCGAAAGAAAAACAAGAACTTTTTAGTGAAAAGTTCTTAAAATTAAAGAGAAAATAGTCATAGGTTACAGAATGATAAGATAATAGTGTTAAGTTTCTTCTTTGCCAGAGAGAGATGTTAAATAATATGAAACAAGCTAAGAAAACAAAGAAATTGATGTTAAACACACACACACACACACACACACACACACACACGCAGATCGGGTTTGGCCCCAATCCTTTTCTTTCACTATTTACACTTATTACTTCAGTGATCTTATTCAGTCTAATGGCATTAAATACCATCTATATGGCAAAGGTTCGCAAATGTACACATGTAAATTCAACTTATATTCCACTAATAATTTATATCGCTAAGCCCCTCTTTACAGCAGTATTTGAATATTCTACATCTCCAACTGGAAATGTGTCCAAAACAAACTTGTAATTCTCTGCCCCCCCAAATTCACTCCACCTGTAGATTTCCCCATCTCAGATCATGGCAACTCTATCTAGTACTCAATCAAAATGCTCTTCAAATATCCCTGACTTCTATTTCTTTTTTTATTTAACTGTATATTCAAATCAGAAGCAAAAGCTGTTGGCTTAATTTTTAAAAATATATTTAGGATATAATGTTTCTCAAAACCACTTTGAGCTACCACCTTCACTTGCCTGAATTACTGAAATAGCTAGTTTGTCTCCCTGCTTCTACTCTTATCACCTAAAATCCATTTTTAATACACCAACTAGAGTCATTCTTTAAAAATTTAAGTGTTTCTTTGTGCCTCAAAACCCCTTTTCGTAGCTTCAAGAAGAGAAAGGATTAACAGAAAGCCAAACTTTCTCCATGGGAACATAATCTGATTACCTGCCATTGAAGTAGTTTACTTGGAAACATACTATGTTAAGAAAAATATGGAAGGTCAGCTGTGTTCAGCACTTGTTATAGTTTGGGTCTAGACGTCCCCCCAAAGCCTCATACGGTCATAGGTAGCTTTTTCAGAGGTGGCTGAATCTACAATGTGTGATGCTGGGATTAAGAGTATGTGATTACTATACCAGTATACTGATTGGTTTGGCACCGTCCTAATCCCAGTAATCTGAATAAGACAAAAGGGACAGAAAGATATTCTTTAGGTTCCCTTGTTGCTTTTCCTGTCTTCTGAAAGCAAAGAACTGTTTCTCCTCTGCATCACCCCCGTCATGTGGCACTCTGCTTTCGAGCCAACCAACCACAGACTAAAACTTATTACAAATTTAGAGCTAAATAAACCTTCCTCCTTTAACTTTGGGTGTTGAGTATTTTGTTTCAGCACAAATGAAAAAGTAACTAAGACAGCACTGTTGTAAAAACTACTATTAATTGGGAAAGTGCATCTGGACTGGAAGGACTCTTGAGTGGATTCATGGGTCTTGCAAATATACATGGCCAGAACTATGTGCCATAAAAGTATTTTGAGAAACACAGGCCTCAGTTTCTCCGTGTGATGTTTCTCTTAACCAGAGTGTGCCTGTAGTCATAGCTATACTTGTGGACTACATTCTAGGTGAGGTAGCCCTTATCCACCTACATAGTCTTACTCCATACAACTGAGAGTACCCACTATGGGGCCAAGAAGCAACCTGAGACTTTTGAAAGGACTGTCAATAAAGATGTATTTGAAGCTATAGTGTTGACATGCTGTGTTTCCTGTCTTGCTTCCTACAAAGCTAAGTAAACTTGCTCTCAGATTTCAGTGTACTGTGTCCTGTGGATGTGAATATTAGAGAATCAAAGACAAATGCAACTAATTATGGGAAGGTCCTACACCTTCCCTATAATTTCACAGGTCAAAACCAAAGTCTTTATAGTATTATATAAAACTCTACATGAATCCTCTTCTTTGACCACGTCTACTAATATTTCCTTCTACTATTTTAGTCACACTGGCCTCCTTGCTTCCTTACTATCCTTTGCACACACAACTCCTGCCTTATGGTCTCTACACTGGCTCTTCTCTCTGGCTGGAAGTTCCTCACCCAGATATCCATCTGACTAACTCTTCTACTATTCCATGTCTTTTATCCTCACCATTTTCCCTGACTATGCTATTTAAAAGTTGAAAGCCCAACGGCCTCCACTTCCAATTCCCCCTGCTCTTTTACCTTCCTTTTGTAATATTTATCACTTTCTAAAATTGGATATAATTTACTTATTAGTTCTATTACCAATCCACTCTAAGTAAGCTCTTCAAGGGTAAGAATCCTTGTTTTACTAACAGATGTCCCAAATGTCCTGAATAGTGCCTCATATGGAAGAATACTTAAAAAAAAAAAAAAAAAGCAAAAACCCTTTCTCTTTCTGTTCAGATGTTCTTCTGTAATTTCAGATTTCTAGGAGTACCAGAGAGCAGTAATATAACCAGAATAGTGTTTTGATACATTTCTTTATCAAGGCATTTTAAAGAAGAATATAAGTAATAGAAAAATACTGTGCTACAACACATCAGTGAAGATCAAATTAAGCCAATCAGAATCATTCTCTGGCTAACTAGTAGGCAGAATAATCCCTTTGGAAATACATGAAATATTCTTTTTTTTTTCACATGAAATATTCTTGAAAACCTCTGTTCATAACATGTTCATTATGTAGAAGCAAACATTTAAAATTTTTATAGATACGATGGAAAACACTTAAGAAATTTCCCTTGGGTAAGTTTTACTTAAAATGAGTAAATGAAAAACTGTCAAAAATGTTAAATGAAATACTCTGGCAGGTAACATTTTATTAATTCAAACACTGCTTGCCTTTATTTGGGGAAGCAGTAGAGATCAAAGAATTCTAAATGGATTATGCCCACCCTTTACTCAGAACCAGGAGCCATGGAACTAAAAATACTATAAGCAATGGAATCATTGCATAATCAATGTCCTCTTCTGTTGGTTCTACTTTAAAAAAAAAAAAAAAAAAAACATTATTAAGAAACAATCCCAGTCATCTTGGGATTCCTCAAGGCCTGATCTTAGGACCTCTCTTTTCATGTTATACCTTTTCCTTAAGTGTCTCATCCATGTCCATATTTTCAGAAACCACCTATATATAGGTATTTACACATTTCTAACTCAAGTTTGGACTTTCACCTTAGCTCCATACTATATCCAACTGTCTGCCTTGACATCTTTGTTGGATATCTCAAAGACTTTAGATAACATTCCCAAAATACACTCAAGATCTACCTTCCCACAGGCTGACAAACGTAGTGTTCTAAAATACCTATATTGCTTAATAATTTCCTTCCCCTCACACCTCCTATATACCATGTGTTTCCATGTCTTATTGACCTTACCTTGGCAAATATCTCTCAGTTGTTTCCTTCTCTTTATCACAATCATCCTAATTCCAGGGTATAAATAGCTCTCATCTGGTAATCCAGATGTAATCTCCAATAGCCTCCTATTGGTCTCCTTCCGATACTTTTGTCATAATACTCTTCTCGTATCCCACACAATTCTGCACTTTATAGCTAGAATGATCATTTTACTATAGTTTATATCTAGATGTCCCCCCAAAATCCTCAAGCACTCATAGGTGGGACTTTTGGGGGGCGGGGGGTGGCTGGATCAAGAGTGTGTGACAACTGGATTAGTCTGCTGATTGGTTTGGTGTAAGTTGTGGGTGATAGAATTACTGAAGCCAGAAGCCCCATCCTAGTGTGGGTAGCAACAACCAATAGGCTTGTAATCTGGATGGAATACAAAGGGAAAGGAAGGCTCGCTGCTTCCTGCCTGCCATGCCATAGACTGTTTCTCCTCTGTGATGCCCTTCTGCCATGCCACCCGGCCTTGGAGCCAACTGACTACGGACTTAAACTTCTACAAACTGTGAACTAACTTGTGGGTGTCAGGTATTTTGTCCCAACAACAAGAAACTTTTCAAAAGAAAAAAGGGATCATGTCATTTGCCCATATGAAACTTTTGGTGATTTTCCACTGTTCCTCGTATGAAATCAAAATTATTTAACCTAGACTGCATGGTTGTGGATGGTCTAGTTTCTATTGCTTTAACTTGAATCATGTTCCCTGTACTCTCCAGGAATATGACCCTATATTCAGTCTCTTCTTTGTATCATGCCTTCTCTACCACTGTGCTTCTCAATCTGCCTTTATCTCAACCTAGAATACTTTTCCAATTCTCCTACAGATGACTCATTTTTATAATTTAGATCTTAGCTCACCTCAAAATAGCTTTTACACCTTCCCTAACTAGATGAAATCTCCCTACAATATGCTTGTTCTCTTAGCACTGTGACCTTTATTCAACAGCACATAACTCATTTGTGACTTTTTCATTTATCTTTGTGATTCTCAAGTTACTGATGATACTTTGTTGTTTAACCTTAATTTGACCATTAGCTCAAGGAATGTAGGGGTAATCTCTGTTTCTGGCTATGTTTTGACAAAGTAAGTACATAATATTTTTAAAGTACATATTTATAATGGCTGTTCTATTATGTTTAACAATAAAAAATTAAGGAAAATGATACTATTAGTATTCTGTGTATTTGTCAACAAATTGTTTCCTTTTCCTCTACTTTGCTTTTTAATAACTTAATCCTATTTTTTTCTAAAGACCTAAGCAACAGAAACAGGAAATATACAAAATTTGATCATCATGAATAAAAAGTTACTGGGCTCATTGTTTGAAAAATAAATTGAACCAAGGAGTTACTTGGTTTGTCAAACAGACAAACTACTCCAACATGGTCACTTATAGCAGGTTTGGATTTATATACCTGCTATGGCTTATATCTAGATGTCACCCCAAAGTCTCATGTGCTTACAGGTGGGGTTTTTTGGAGATGGCTAGATCTAAGGTATGTGAATGTGAATTACAGGTGTGTGCATGTGGATTAAGGGTGATAACTA